CAGATCGAGATTATTTCCCTTTTAGGCAGGTCGCGAACGACGGCAAACGCATCAATCAGTATTTCTCCTATATCCTTTAATCTATGCTCAAATAAAATTAAAACGTCTCCAATCAAGGCATCCGTCAGTTCAAATCCAAGCAATATCAGATCGTTTAGTTCATCAACGACTTGAGCTAAACCTGGTTTAACCCAATCTTCGGAAGGACTTGAAGGATAAAGGATAAGTAACGATCCTTGCATGACCAGGTCGTTCACATCGTTGACGATCTCAGGATACCCGTTTTTCTTCCAGACATTAACTAATTTGGGATATATGAGTATAGCGCGTGCAATGACGGTTAGTTGTCTCACGTTCTCATACCCATCAGATGGCGGACAGTCATCAAAAATTGCGGCACGTGACTGGGTCTGTATCGGAATGTGGCTTCAGTCCAATATTCCCGTCATCTTTCTTCTCGAGAATATGCTTTCGGGTTTTCGGTCTTGGAGGGAAAGGGGCAAACCTGTATCTCCGAATCAGAGTTTTAATCTCCTTTTTGTTTTTCTTCAATTTGGTTCTCGCTTGATTAATAACCAATGGACCAGCCGATAAGTAATAAAAGGACTCCATGTCATTTCCTCGGATGGGAATATCATTTCCGTCAAACCGATCATGACCCTCTTTGAGAATTCGGGAGTAAACATCAAAGGAAAGATTGCTTGCCCAGGGACTTCGAATTTTATTTTGAATAGATTTTCTCCGACCCGGAACAAGCGCCCCCATGTTGTGGGTCAATTTGAGGTCAATAAGTCTACTGTCGCACTTGCCAAATCCGAGCACCAATCGTTGAATAAAGTATCGACTGATGTGCGCCTTCTGCGCAAATAAACATTCGACCACATCAAGATTAATAAAAGGCTCACCCATTCTTACTGCGTGAAACAATGCATGGGTTCTTCCGTGTCTGCCGATCAACCACTTGGATTTTGTTGAAGGTAAATTCACGATATTGTTCCATTCGCGTGAACATCTGGCAAGAGATGTGGGATTCCTCAAGTGGAGAATAATTTCCACTTTAAGCTCTGGCGCTAAATTATTTAAATACATGCGTGGAGGAACTGTCACAGGCATTATCATAAGGATCGGACGAGGAAACTGGCCAGTTGACATGACATCTGAAGACAAATTCGAACATATTGATTATAGAATGTTCAATTTCAAAACGTCAGCGCCTCATTACTCATACCTGTATGGTTGGGGAAGTTTTCAATTGCTGAAAGCATGGTATCAATCAAAACGTTTTTTCACTGAGCAATATTTAGGTCTCTTTTATCTTTGCGTGTAAGGACTATGCCAAAAAAGAAAATATTTGAAAGGATATGATCTCCGTGTGACAACCCGACAAAAACGGTCGTGCATAATCAATAGAATTTTTAAAATACAGGAACATAAAATAAAGTTCTACATACACTGTTGAAAGTGAATATTTTAATGGTCACTTTCAGCCGTTATGCTATATCATAGAATTTAGAACTATGGGAAATAACATTAGATCATACTCTGTCGTTATTATAGAACACATGGTATGACTTCATTACTAGCGTTATTTATTACTTCAATCTCTTTATTATTTGGAAAGTGAAAATATTGCTCAGCTTGTTATATAAGGGTAGTCATGTCATTTCCGACTAGTTTAGATTTGGAAACAAATGAAGTAACACGACATGATTCCAAGGGGCACTAGGCTCTTTGCTTCAAGATATGGGGTATTCTGGTAAAATAAAGCCAGTAGATTAACAGAAATGCATAGTATACGCTTTGATGCTTAATATTGGCACGCCTTGTCATTATAGCAGTCATACCTTATTCATGTTGGCTTCCTCACAGCACAAAACAAGTTTTTTAAGTTAAACGCTTTAATACAAGAAGAAGAACGAACTATTTATTCTTACAATTACTACTAATTTGATAATAACAGACTCTGTTAAGGGAAGAAGTTCTTCAAGAGAGTATGTGAGCTTGTTTGCCATTCCGATACTAGCACTTAAAGTACCAAATTAATAACTCATTAATAAATGTTTTTTAGTTACTTAACAATAGTGAAACAATACATGGAACGGTAAGTCACAAAATTTATATCGATTTTTGTTGAAAACTTCAAATTTAAACACCGCACTTGTGATAGTTAGTCGCTATTTTTTAATTCAATGACAAAGTAAATAAATGCCAGTCATGACGAAAAGACCAGTCATGAAATGGCTGTCGACGAAATAAACCGGACCTTAACATACATCGTCCATTAAGAAATTTTTGCGACTGCAACATTCTAGTTAAAATGTTAAGAAATGAGATTTCGATTGTTCGAACAATTAGTATCACCAACCGGATAATGCATTAGGTTTCGTTATTGTTGTTAGAGAGTAATTTGACGGAACAAAATAGTTGTTTTAATAGGTATTCCAGATAAATCAACAACCAACCTCCTTCCGCAAATCGAGAATATTTTGTGGCGTGGTCATTACTTCACAAAACACAATGTATGCGTTGAACATCGAAACATTTCTTATAAGCACGTCAAACGTCGTGAAATTCTTCTTTGTAATTCTTTAGTGTTCGACAATCGTCATTATTCAAGGAAAGTGGTCTTTCGTTTCTTTTAGCACTAGATTCATTATTAGAATTAGCACGTCTGGTAATTGTATCTGTAAGTGTTCTGTGGAATTTCAAAAGACGAGCAATTGTTTCATGAGCTTTTCCAGCTATTGTAAACCGTCTTTTTTTTGAGCCTAGTTCGCATATTAAAACTTTGTTGCATAAAATTTTTTAGTTACTTAATATAGTAACTAGCTTGGTCACAGTGTTTTTTGCATTACGAACAAAATAATTAATACGTTTTCGATTAGTTTGATACAGTAATAGAGATATTTCGATGTAACTTATTATAATCGAGTACAAAGAATCGTTAGCATAACTGTACTACGTATGACATATATCTGTGCGATCGATCGTATTGGCACATTCATTAACGTTAACAAAATGTCCCAAGGTCAATCGGCTAATGACACTAGAGAGTGGTTAACTAGGAGTATACAGGAAGGATTTATCAAACACTATTCGGACGATGACATCCTGGATCGTACACTTCTCGGCCATGGTGGATACGGTGTTGTATATAAAGCCAAGATAAAGCATTCTGGAATATCAGTCGCAATGAAAACTTTGTTTCTAAATCAATATGGATGTGAAGAAGAATTATATAAACAGTTTGTCAAAGAGGTTGTTAACAGTACCTATCGTCGTTATCTTATTAATAGCATAACATTTAGAGGCTGTATAAACTGAATTATTTGCAATCCGTAATATAATAGCTGAGAACTCATAAGCAAGTGGACGATCATCCAAACGTCATTCGATTCTTAGGAGTATGCAAAGGTAATGTTAGGCATATGTTTCTCTGCACATAATGACTACATACTCAACTCTATAAACTTATACATAAATAGATTTATCTCATCATTACCACATGGTGTTTGAATATGCAGACGGCGGAACTTTGTTTGAACATCTGCAGAAGTGCTTCCCTAATCTGACATGGAAGAACAAGTACAAGCTGGCTTTGGAAATTAGCGACGGGTTGTTGTATTTACATAGACTCGAAATTGTTCATAAGGACTTGGTATGTATTGACATAGCTTTGATTGCTTTATTGAAATATAATTCAATGTTGCACATTTCAAACTAATTACTAAATATATTATATATACAATGGAAATAGTCTTCAGCAAATATTCTTATCCAAGAAGGCACTGCAAAGATAACAGACTTTGGATTATCTAAGACACTTAATCAGATTATGTCCACATCAAAAGGTGAAGGAAATACAGCATATATGGATCCATTATCTTTTAAAAACAAATCTTATAAACGAGGGAAACAATCAGATATCTTTAGTCTTGGAGTGATACTTTGGGAGATTTCAAGTGGGAAAATTCCCTGTGAAGGGGTTACCAACAATTATGAAATTCTGATATACAGAATGAATGGCTCTCGTGATTCTCCTTTTCCTGGAACCTCTGAACATTATATTGATCTATATTCTAAATGCTGGGATGAAGACCCTAATAAACGCCCATCATGTGAAATAGTTAACAAACAACTCAAGTTGTTGACCACCCAACCACCAATTTACATATTAGATCTGAATAACTGTCAAATTGGAAACACAGAAGCAACAGCTCTAGCAGAGGCTCTAAAATCAAATTTCTCATCATCCTCTTTAAATTTAGTTTATAACAATAATAAGATCACACATACAAGAGCAAAATCTGTTTTGAAAAAGGTTCTAAATTGGAATTTTTTTATAACATCTCTAAATCTTCAACATAATCAGATAGGATATACAGGAGCAACAGCATTGGCAAAGGCTCTGGAATCAAACTCTTCTTTAACATCTCTGGATTTGTCTTATAATAAAATAAAAGATACAGAAGCAATGGTAAAGGCTTTGGATTCAAATTCTTTAACATTTCTAAATCTAAGATCAAATGAAATAGGAAATAATGGAGCAACAGCATTGGCAAAGGCTCTGGAATCAAACACTTCTTTAACATCTCTAGATTTGTCTTATAATACAATAAAAGATAAAGGAGCAACAGCATTGGCAAAGGCTCTGGAATTAAATTCTTTTTTAAAATCTCTAAATCTTGAACACAATCAGATACAGGATACAGGAGCAACAGATTTGGCAAAAGCTCTGGAATCAAATTCTTTTTTAACATCTTTAAGTCTAAGCTGGAATAAAATAGGAGATATAGGAGCAACAGCTTTGGCAAAGACTCTGGAATCAAACTCTTCTTTAACATCTCTAGATCTATCTTATAATAAAATGAAACATACAGGAGTAGCAGCATTGGCAAAGGCTTTGGAATCAACTTCTTTAACATCTCTAAATCTAAGATCAACTGAAATAGGAAATAATGGAGCAACAGCATTGGCAAAGGCTCTGGAATCAAATTCTTCCTTAACATCTCTGAATCTAAGATTAAATGAAATAGGAGGGACAGGAGCAACAGCATTAGCAAAGGCTCTGGAATCAAATTCCTTTTTGATATCTTTAAATCTTCAATGCAACCAGATAAAGGATACAGGAGCAACAGCATTGGCAAAGTCTCTGGAATCAAATTTTTCTTTAACATCTTTAAATCTAGACTCTAATAACATAGGAGGGACAGGAGCAATAGCATTGGCAAAGGCTCTAGAATCAAATTCTTCCTTAACATCACTGAATCTAAGATTAAATAAAATAGGAGAGACAGGAGCAACAGCATTGGCAAAGGTTCTGGAATTAAATTCTTTTTTAACATTAACATCTCTAAATCTTGAACACAATCAGATACAAGATACAGGAGCAACAGCATTGGCAAAGGCTCTGGAATTAAATTCTTCTTTAACATCTTTAAGTCTAGGCTGGAATAAACTAGGAGATATAGGAGCAACAGCTTTGGCAAAGGCTCTGGAATCAAGTGTTTCATTAATATCTCTAAATCTAAAACACAATGAAATAAAAGATACAGAAGCAATAGCATTGGCAAAGGCTTTGGAATCTAACTCTTCTTTGACATCTCTAAATCTTGAACACAATCAGATAGGAGATATGGGAGCAACAGCATTGGCAAAGGCTTTGGAATTAAATTCTTTTTTAACATCTCTAAATCTTGAACACAATCAGATACAGGATACAGGAGCAACAGCATTGGCAAAGGCTCTGGAATTAAATTCTTCTTTAACATCTTTAAGTCTAAACTGGAATAAAATAGGAGATATAGGAGCAACAACTTTGGCAACAGCTCTGGAATCAAATGTTTCTTTAATATCTCTAAATCTAAAACACAATGAAATAAAAGATACAGAAGCAATAGCATTGGCAAAGGTTCTGGATCAAATTCATCTCTAAATATAAGTTCTGAGAAGATGGTGTTCTGGCACACCTTTTTTTGACACCCATCATTGACTGTTCAGCTTTTCCTGCACATATAGTACATATTAATATTAATATGTGCTGTCTTTCTTACTAGAGAGTTTTTTATTGAATAAATTGGACATTTATATTTATTAATTATCAACTAATATCAGATTAAGATAGCTTTTAAATAAGCTTTTTAGCAGTTCTTAGCTAGTATAAGACAGAAAGCAAATAAAAAATTTTCCCTAATATATTATATCTTGTTATGAATAGCCAATTACCAAATTGCCCAATCTATGTTTGTAGTTCAAATGAGACGTTTTCCCCTAGTACCTGAATCATTGAAGAAATCAAGAAGTTTTCCAAATGTACATGTACTATCAAGATATAATTAATACCATTGCTGAACTTGGGATTTAGCTATTTTCAAATGGGAGCTATGGCTTCTCCTAATTATAGTTAAATACTATGACAGTTAGTATGTAAACTGGGCTATGTGAACATGATGGATTCTAGTGGAAAGTCGAGCCGCTTATATCTAAACGTGTTGCAAATAATTATTCAACGTCCACGTGTAATGATCTTGCGCATGATCGACGCAACATCCCGATATAGGCAACGCTTATTCAGAATTCTCGTAAAACCATCGCGATTGAAGCTGCGCACAAATCGAAGGAGGAATATGTCATCAAACATCGCACTTTACCAACAATTATCTTATTATGAGCATGCTGTTAAAACTTGTACATAAAATCTTTTATGAATTTTATGCTGTGAACAGTTATATTTATTATTTTATTGTTCTATCAGCTATTTATTTTGCTTCGCGGAATATAAACAGTTTATCGTTCGTGGGGTAAGCTTCCCTAGAATCTTAGAAGAAATACGGTTATCGGGAATATTCGTCTACATAGCGTATCTCATTACCTTTTGTCGAGCGCACTAAATTACCCCTACAGTGATTGCTGATTTTAGCAACTTCGATTGCCAAATCTGATGAGGGAGGTAGCTGCCGAAATATGTGTTGACACTATCGGATTGCTCTTTGATGAGTCATTACATTCATCATCGCTTATCATGTGCTTGGAATTTTGCTAATTCAATCACATTTGGTGGCACAGATCATATTCGCCAATCAGACGAAGTTTATTCCGTGAATCTAAAAGGTGATTTTGACCAAATGCAGCATTGAAGGGGGAGACGATCAAAGCCATCAGACACTACCCTGTTTTTGCTATGTATTACCAAATTTGTATTTGCAATTTCCAAATTCGATTGGCTTGATGAACGCACTTACTTCCCACGGTTCCATAAACAGTAGTTGTTAATGCTTAGCCGTATTATTTCGCTGATAAAAGCTATGAGCAGCAAATACGCGTTTCTGTCAGGAAAAATGTCCTCATACTTTATAAATAAACATATTGTCTTACTGTTTTTATTGCAGGGAATAACGCAGAATAGTTGTTCTAATCGAAATATTAAAAGTCGACATTTTTTATTATCTAAACTGATTACACTAATTTCCGAACAATTTCGCTAATAATGGATGATATCTCAATATTCAGGAAACGATTATAAGTTGATGAATATAATAATAATTGTACAATTTGTCAGCAGATTATTCAGTAATGTTTGGATTCATGTTCAGGCTTTAGCACACTACTGATATCAAAACATTAAAGTATATATCACTCTCAGCTATTCTCACCTTATCTTATCGCAAGAATTGTTGTAGGTTGAATCTACTTCTTTCTTCCCCACAGATCTCACAACAAGAACGAATAGTGTTATTCTTATTTCGTGGGATCGACGAATTGTAGCACAATCCCTTATAAATCTTACAAACGCTGCGATGCTTTTAGTTAAAGACAATAACCATATCGATATTTGTAGTAGCTTACTGTAACACTCATATCAACCATTGTTATGAAATAATTCGACACATATAATTATTGCAATCCTGTGATGCAACATGATCGGTATCGTTTATCGGCTCGTTACAAGAAGAATTGCAATAAGTGAATTACAGACCTTGCCTATCACAAAGTATAATAAAGTTACCCCACCCTTTACTCAAGTTGATCGTCAATTCTTCAACTACTGTTGAGTGTATATTTGTTGATTGAGTAAAGGCCAATTGTAGCTTGTCTTAGACATATATGTATACGCCACGTCTTATTCTACTGTCTTATAATATGCATGTGAGTTGCCGATGTTGTTGAATATAACATGTGCAGATGTTATCGTTATTATTGAATCGCAAATGCAATATATCGAGTGACTCAATTAGTTTGATATACAGTATACAATAGATCAAAAGTACAAGTTAAAATTCTTATTCTAATGTATTATGTCATACTGCTATTATTTGTCATATTATGATCTAGAGCAGTCTTTGCTTATGCTGTAGGACTATAGCCTTGTAACATCAAATAGTACTAGTGATAAAGGTAATTATTAAGCGAAACACAATATGAAGGATCGTCTATTCTGTGTATTATGTAGTTATTTGGAATATAACAAACTCCTCGTAAGCACAACCCATATTTAGTCCATACCATATACGATGCGAGTTATTGTACGCCTAATGAGGACATTGTCAACTACATGTCGAGTGGCAGTGCAATGAATGTACGATGCTTCTTAAAAATCGATAAATATTGACTATTGTTGCGCACTGCACGTTGAGAACATCACCTGCAAATTGACGAGATACGTGTGAAGGGATGATTGTTGGATGTGAGAAACAACAAAGAGAGCCGAGAAGAGACGGTTTGCATTTGATCCATTAGAGCAAGTATCATAATAATAGAGCAGATCCTCAATTGGATATCAATTCAACAATATTATATTACCTGATTGGAGCATCTGCCATGGTATCGGTCACAGAGTAAGTGTGTCACACTAAAGCCCATTGTTGGATGTTCAAGGTAATGGACAATGGGGAAATATGCAATTTAACGTATAAATATATGTTTCATCAATAGTATAAATGTCTACGTAATAATCAGTTATCATGGGCACAATCAGCAAACACACATGTTTAAGTTCGCTCTTGCCGATCAAGTGGTATTTTATTAATTTATTCTATTCTGAACATCCACGAAAACTGCGGACAGAATAATAAACAATAATAACATTATGAATATTGTGAAGACCGCAGTGTGTAGCACAATACAAACTGACGTATCGTAATAGAAAATATGCATAACTATACTAATTGTATTATCCCCTTTCACCCGCTGTACGACATGTCCATATTTGTAGTGTTAAAGCCTCACTACACACGAAAATATCTTTGATCGAACGTTTGTACTCACGCTCACAGAAGCACTTACTCTCATACTACATTTACTCGCGTTTTCCCATCTCCCCTTTTACTCTTTACTCTCTCTTGCTTTTTTTCTCTGCTATTTATCATCACGTTTCTATTCGATTTGCCCCTACCTGCCATGGATGAAGCAGCGAAAAAAAAACATTGCAATCTTCTGATGTTCGAATATAATCCTCCTTCTCCTTCCGCATACAGCAAAACAAGTCACTCGATGCCATTAATGATTGACTACACTACATCGCTGGAAAACAGTTGTATTCAAATACAAGATAACTTTGTACTCACGTCCTTTGTCGAACCTATTAGAGTAAAGCCACGTAAATGTAAGCCTCCGACCAAGTCAACCAACGACGCGGCTATGAATAATATTGATTCTGATGCTATTACTACGGGTGACACTATTAATACAAGTATCAGTAACAACATCTGGAAATCACCTTCCGTCTCGACAGATGAACGCGGTTTCCCTCTAAACTCCACCCATCCGTCTCCGCTTGCACCCCCATCGGTCTTGTCACCCGTAATTTCCTCAAACAAGCTTAAACCATCTCTTCCAACTGCAACTCACAAATCCTCACCTCTTCCTATTTTATCCAATCAAGTGTCTAGTTTATTTATGAATGAGACCTCACAGATTTCTCTTACTGAGACCAACCGTGCTCCTCGGCCACCGAATGCATTTATTCTTTACCGTCGGCACACGCAGCCTTTGCTCATCAATCAAGAACCAAAGCTAAAAAATTCAGAAATTTCGAAGAAGTTGGCTCAAATGTGGAGAGACGAACCGGATCACGTAAAGCTACATTGGCAAAGATGCGCTGACAAAAAGAAGTTGGAACATATGAAGAAGTATCCTGGATATAAGTATAGGCCCAGTAAACCAGGAACAAAGTCAAAACGTCGCAAAGCATGCAACAGTCATACTGATGATAACAATAACAATAACAATAGCAGCGATACCAACTCCAACATTGGCACCCATAACAATACCAACTCCAACATCAGCACCAATACCAGCATCAATCCCAACGACAACAGCTACCACAATGATAACGAAAGACTCGCACAGAATAATTTTGATGCCACTAATAACGTTGATATTAACTATGCTAATAGCAATAAACATACGTATTGTCATAATGACATGTATTCATGTTCTGAAATAACGAATACGCCTGAAGTTGATCCGACTGCCGAATGGTATCCAGCTATAGACATGTTATCGCTCGGTACATCCAATGCGACTACTAGCAAAGTCGAGGAAAATGAAGAAATGCATGCCAGCTTACAAGAATATTATCAGATGTTTACCGGATTAGAAAACGTCGGCAATAACCTGAGAAATATACCCAATATGAATGTGACGAACAATATAATTCACGCGAGTAACTTAAGTGGCATGAGAATGAATTCCGATGGGAATGTCAACGGCATCGATGTACATAATAATGCAATGTTTATGAACACAAGTAATATATATGATGAATATGGCAACATGAACGAATGCTATGGAGCAAGTAATGAATTCGCAATGCAGCACATAAACGCCTGTGTTGGCGACAGTACCAACAGTAGCATTGGCAACGTTATTTATAATAACGGTATTAGCAACTGTGTAATCTTTAGCCGCAATGGGTTGAACGAAAGTCAGACAATGTTTCCTGAAGAAAACGGTTCTTACTATGTAGGAAATGAATTTAGTTATTTAACGGAACAATCTTTCTAAGTTATCTTTCTATGACTCTTAAGCACTATTTTATAAGATTTGATATTTCACTAAGACTGTAAATAAGCAATCGCATTAACTAGGGAAGTTTAATTGTGCCCGGCTGACTGTGTCGACTATAACTAGGTCTAGTACAATTATTTTAAGCAAAGGTTGGAACCTTTTGTTGGTGGTAAATGCTATTTATTATTAATATGCATATTATATTAATAAATTCGGTACTACATTTTTAAATGGTTGCTGTGGTAATAGTTGTAGTCGTTGATCTGATATCTATGTGGCGAAACTATATTAAAACATTCTCACGTTCAACAGCGGCTGCTCGCGACGTAATGCTTGGCCAGCGGAGAATATGTTATTGTCTAGTGTTAAGGTTACATTCACTAGTGTAAGTCCTTGTGTTTTGTGTAGCGAACGAATTTTAAAGTGTGCGTGATGTTTTGGTCTTTGCTGTATAAAAGTAAGACGTTTGGCGAAGATATCCAGTAGTAGACTATCCCATTTTGTATACAAAACGCTACTTTGATTAAAGAGTGTTTTTGTCGAAACTGCGCCGTTGCAGATACCTTTTTAGATCAGTGAATTGTTTAAGTACATATTCAATTTGTTAGTCTCATATGTTATGTATGCGTATCGAGGGCTTGATTTTGAAATCTAAATGCGTTAATTTGACTGGTTGATGTACGTATGCATGCTGTTGATATGGTCTATGGGTGAATTTGTCATGATACTCATACGGTTAATTTGATCTGTGACGAGGATGTTGGGTTTACAGTCGAAACTCGTTATAATGGAAAGTTGGACACAACCCATGAACTCCATTATAACGCGAGTTCCGTATGATTTGTTATAGTGGACTTTGCACGTGTACTTCCATTATATTGTGAATTTATATTTTCTACTTGATACAGCTTATGCCATAAATTTACTTAAAAAATTGGAAGGCTAGTAATGATGTCAACGGATATATCTTGTCAGTAAAAGACTTGGTCGCATTCAATAAAAGTAATAAGATGTCCGTAATTTGTCATATTAGTATTTAATACTTGATCCGTCCTCATTCCTATTGGCTGAAGCCTATATCCATTATAGTAACTGTTGTATGTCAGATCGGAATTTATGTCAAAAAATTTATGTCCATTCCGAACTGACATATGTCAGATCAGAATTTATGTCCATTCCGAACGGACATGTGTCAGATCGGAATATATGGTATACTAAGTATAATCATTGTAAATATGCTTTATTTACTAAAAACGTTAATGATTTC